TTTTCAACAAACACAATTTAATGAAAATAAACAATTGAATGAAAAATTTGAAAAAATTCAAAAACAATTTCAAATTTTAAGAGAACAATATCAACAAGTAAAAATATTTTATTTTTTTTATTTTTAATTTAATTTAAAATTTAATTTAAAAAAAAGGAATGTTTTCGTCGAAAACGTCTATCATCACATGTTTATGATCTTCTATCTGTAATTGAACAAAATATACCTGTTATATCAGATGCTGAAATACGAATGCAACAACAATTAGAAACATATCAAATACAAATATATTGTCTTAAAGAAAATATTCAACGTATTCAACAATTTATATTATCAAATCAAGATCAAACAACATTTGACAATTTATCTATAGAAAATATTCAAAATCTTGTTCAAAATCATCGAAATCAAATTGATCAAATGAAAAAAACAATTACAAACCATTCAAATTAATAAATAAAATTTTTTCATAAACCTCTTCAACTATTTCTTGTTTGTAAAAAAGAAATTATTTTGTCTTATTGACGGATTTAAAAAAAGAACGAATATCTTGTTATTTATTCAAAATCGATAAGAAGTTTTTTCGTAGAAATCATAAGAAAAACCAAAAGATCTTTTATTAATTTTTTTTTTAATCAGTTCAATTTTCGAAATCACATTTTATTTTCTTGGCCAACTGACTTATTCGACAAAGTTATGGAACACTATCATTATCCAAACAATACATTCCAAGTTTTCCAACACCTAATCATCCTGAACAGTTATCATTGACAACTTAGCCTTACTTCATTTGAGTATAGCCAGATGAACACGAAATTGTTTCTTCATTTGGATTCAGATAGTAATGATCTATGAAAAAGATTTTAGTATTATATAAAGAAAATCATCTTGAAAAATATATATTTATTCGGTTCACTAATATTTCAATAAGTTTAACCAGTTACGATTGTTTTAATTATCATCAACACATGTTGTACATGAAAACTTTATCAACTTCACTATATTGTTTACCAAATAACCAAATCCAACAAGTTGCTTTCACTACATGGTGGATATACTGTTTGACCATATTGTTGATCTATTGTTCTTATTGAACAGATAACAGAAGCTAAACAAGAACCAACACAATAATGTTTTGATGAACATTTTATAGATTGTGATGAACCATTAGAATTATTCTAATAACTAAATATACAATCTAGTCACGTTGTTTGCCAAATTTTTTGGGTTACGCATCTGCATTCGTACAATAATGCCACCATATGAACATACTGCATAAGCTGAACCTTGAAGATGTGGGCTATTATCATCAGCCACACATTAAAGCAATTTATTTAGTCTAATGATAGATTTTCTGTTCCAAGTGAGCACGATTGAAGAGTAAAACTAGCATTTGGAATAAAAGTACCCAATGGGGCACATATTACAATATGATGAATCATAATGAGTGATCCAGTAACTGAACCGACACAAAATATAACTTGAAGCTCGAGAATCAGTACAAGTTTTTGGTAAACATACGTGTAGAATTACGATTCTTGTTCTATCATCTGATACACTAAAGAAGCTTGGTGGGCAGTTCATAGCTTCAATAACCTTTAAATTTTCT